TTTAATGAAAATATGGAAGTCCAGAGGGAAAATACAATTGAAAAATTGTTATCAATTAGAAATCCTGTTGGAAAAAGTATTCATTTTAATCAGTGAATTTCATGTACTTGTTAGTTTTACTGTGCAATACTTAGGCCAGTGCCTTAACTTGTAAGTTTTAAGAATATCTACCATCTACAGAAAAAGTGTCCACACACACAGGGACATCACAGCAGTTTTGAGGTCAGCCTCTCTGAGGAAGCTCACGTGTAACTAACCTGGTGGTGTCTCACTCTTGTTATGGTGTCCACCTACCTGGCTGCTCAGGATAAGGACTTGATCATCCTGATGATCCGCTTGATGCGCTCCTGGGATGATCCTTTGAGCCACCTGAGGACTGCAGCTGCTCGCCTGCCGAAGGTTCCCCCGAGTTTCATGCAGTACACTGAAGTGATCCAGGAGAAAATGCAGCAACTTTTAGAAGGCCTGAAGACCATCGCCTTACAGGTGGGGGAGCCTCATGATGTCTGCCGGTTTCTGACTTTCAGTGTCCACTGTGTGTTTGGAAAAACAGTGGCATTCCTCACTTTATAGGAAAAGCATTTAGGCGGAATGTTGCACCTTCCAGTCTGCCACTAGTTAGAGCCAGAGCTGTAGACAACAGTGCAGATTCTGATGTCAAGGTGTCTCAGGACTCACGGTGCTTAGTGTGCTGTCTCCACTGCACTGTCCATGAACACCTCAGGACTGTCCCTTCATGGGTGGTGATTACACATTTTCCCTGGGCAGAAATTCAGAGAAGGCTACCTATGAAGAAATGTATCCCTCAAAGTGTTTTTGGACTTCCACACTGAAATTCTGTAGAGTTTTTCTGTTTTCACCTCACACCAAATCATAGTGAAGCCCTGGTTTTAAAGAATAATTCCTTCTGCTCGTGATCCAAAACAATGTATAACAAAGCTGTGAAAGGAGAAGCAGTTGTGATCATGTGATGCCTGAGCATGCACTAATTATATTGCAAGACATCATTAGTTTTATGAAGTTGAAATCTGTCAGATAAGTTTCCTCATCTTGTGAAATACTCACAGACCAACTTAGTCAAAATCCAAAGTTTTACTGTATTTAGGGGGAAAGGAAAATATCCGATTCAGATTTAATGGTGCCCGCAAACACCTGAATGCCAAAACCAAAGAGGACATCCTCGCATAAACACTTAAAGCCACTAAGGTTACCTTTCCTGGAATTTTGGTGCTTATAAGCTAAAACTCACACTGTTGCATTAAATCACCACAGATAATTTGTCATACTTTAGTAAATTATTGTTTTCAGTAAGCATCTCCATTCAGCTAGAACAATTCTAGCAACAGTGTTGTAGCAGGTAAGCAGCTTTCTAAAGTTCTCAGAAATACTGATTTATGAAAACAAGAATTCATGATTACAGAAATGATAACATAAACAGTGATATGTTTCACTTTTCATGTCTGAAGTACTTGCTCATATGTACTGTTCTGTCATTTTCATGAAAGAAGGTTATCCTCAACTCATAAATATAGTATAATAAAAAGTATATTATCCTAGGAAAATAGAAAGTAAACACTTCAGTTTTCAACTTATTTTCTTCATTACTAAGAACCAAATTCCTGGGATCACTGATTTGCTCTGTAACCCTTCATCTGTTCATTTTCCTCCCAATTACTCATTTGTTCCTGTTTGTATCTTGATACTTTTTAGTAAACATTCTTTAGGAACATTGCATCAAAAGTAAAATAAAGTTAAAAAAATAACGCAGAAATTAAGGTCACCAGTAAACGCACACACACACACACACACACACAGACACACACACACCTTTGAAATTAGAATAAAAAGTTTTTGTATTCTGTCAGAGAAAGTTCAGCAGATCAGTGTCTACCATGGCTCC